CAAGCCCATAGGAACACATTAGTCGGGTTTTAATGCGTTTCTATGAGCTTTTTAATTTCGCTTTACGATGTTATCGTTCTACAGCGATTTCGCTGGAATGAATTAACATCATAATGCAAGGCACCACTGTACTGAATCTGGGAGACCAAAACCTGCTCTGTGTTTCTGTCAACCTTTGGTCCCAGCAACCATACTTGCAACCAAAACCTATATTTACCTCCTCGTGTGTGTGTATAATGTCCCAAGACTGTTAAGAAATCAGGCTATACAACATTATGGTCGGTATATGGTTGTAATAAATAAATTAAGAATAACAATGGATTTGAGTGTATCCAGAGATATATTGCTGGGTATCTGTAATCACCTTTTTTGATCAGATGCACAATTCTGTTTATGATAATGGGCATGGGCAAAAGATTATTCTTGTTTCCAAAAACCAGTTGTGTAGATTGTTGACCGCGTGACTCATGACACTCATGGAATGGCTTGCCTCTGCTTCTCCCAGCTGGCTATGCAGAAACATGATTGGCCGGCTGACCACTGACATAATTCTGAAACTACATCCTCTTCTTTTACTCAAAGCAGTGCTTTAATAACAAAACAAATAAGTAATTCTAGATGGGGGGGGAGGTTAAGTGCTGCAAAAATTGGGTTACTATGCCAGGCACAAGAATTTTTTTTTAACCCCAAAGTCTGCCCCTGCATCAGTACTGCTTTTAGAGCTTACCTGCATCTAAAATTAGATGACAGAAGTACAACGGCCCAAACAGAAAGGTTACTTACCTGTAACCATAGTTCTTCGAGTGGTCCTCTGTGAATCTATACAAATGGGTTTAGACTGCACCTGTGCAGGACTCCTCGGAATATTCTAGAGCTTAAAATAAGTGATTAATAGTACATTGCCCCGTGGCGCACATGCTCCGCCCGCCCGTAAACCTCAGTTCCAAATGTCCGCCACTGTCAAAGCTCTGACCCTCACAAAGCTCAAGACAACAAGTGACGGACAGTGGGGAGGCTGGGCGGGATGTGTGGATTCACAGAGGACCACTCAAAGAACCATGGTTACTGGTAAGTAACCTTTCTTCTTCATGGCATCTGTGAATTCATGCAAATGAATGACTAGCAAGCTCACTTACCGGAAGGTGGGTCGTCATGGCAACAACAAAGTCAGCACAGCCCATCCAAAACTCACTTCCTTCTTGGCCCGTAAGTCCAAACGGTAGTGTATCACAAAGGTGGATGGAGTGGACCATGTGGCTGCTTGGCAAATGTCCAAAACATCAACGCCGCGTAATAAGGCAGTTGAAGTAGCCATGTCTCTTGTAGAGTGTGCCTCTGGTGGAACTTTGTCAGCCAGTTCGTAGGCCAATGTAATAGCAGACATAATCCACCTCAAAATCATCTGCGAAGATGCAGGAAAGTCTTCATGTGGGCCGTGGAAGCCGTGGAAGCAAACAAACAACCTGGGCTAAGTGCGAAAGTCTTCAGTTCTAGATGTGTAAAACGCCAACACACGACGAACATCTAGTGAATGGAGCATGCACTCAACATCTGAAGAAGGATCAGGAAATAATGTTGGAAGGATCAAGGGTTGATTAATGTGGAAACTTGATACAACTTTGGGAAGAAAGGAGACGTCAGGACACAAGGTTATCTTGTCTGGGAAAAAGTCCAGATATGGGGCATCAGCCTGAAGGGCAGCCAGTTCACTTGCTCTCCTTGCAGAAATTATTGCCACCAAAAACAAAGTCTTGAAGGAGAGGAGTAAAAAATCTGACGAAGCCATAGGCTTGAATGGTGGATGAGTGAGGGCCCGCAAAACGACCTGAAGGGACCACTGTGGTAATGGAGGTTGAGCGGGTGGTTGGATGTTGCGTAAGCCCTTTAAGAACATCTTTAAGGTTGGGTGTGAAGACAAACACAATGCTTCTAATCCCAGCGGTTGATATGAGACAATTTATTTATTTATTTATTTATTTATTTATTTATTTATTTATTTATTTATTTTATATCCCGCCTATCTGGTCGGGTCAGGACCACTCTAGGCGGCCCCCATCTTCTAACTGTGTATTTTGTTTCTTTTCCTAGGTAAATAACTTTGCACCAATCCCTATTAAATTCCATTCTGTTGTTTTCAGTTGATATATAAACTTTGAGAATAGAAAGGGCTAAGCCCCGGTCAAATAAGTGGCGTAGAAAGATGAGAAGGGTATTCAAGGACACCAGAACAGGTAACAAATTTTTAGACGCAGCAAACTTCAGAAAGTTATTCCATTTGTAGGAATATAAAAGTTTAGTTGAAGATTTTCTAGCCTTTTCCAAAACCTCTTTTATCTTGGGAGAATCCTCTAAGCTGTGAGGTGTAGTGACTCCAGGTCTGGTTTGCAGATGTTGCCTGCATCTTGTGTGAGAAGATGTGGACGAGAAGGTAGTCTGAGGAACTCAGCTGCCATGGTCCTGAGTGTGGTAAACCACGGTTGTTGAAGCCACCATGAGGCCACTAGAATAACGTTGGCTCCTAGCTGGCAAATCCTGATCAGTGTTCTCTGGATTAGCAGGATGGGGGGGGAACAGGTAGAGGAGACTGTCCTCCCAGTCCACTATGAAGGCATCTCCCAAAAACGCTCCGCCTCTCCCCGCTTGAGAGCAAAACATGTTGCATTTGATGCTGAACTGATTTTGCAAACATGTCTACGGCTAGGATTCCCCACTGATCACAGATCATTAAGAACATGAAATCGTTGAGCTCCCACTCGTGAGTCTGGTTGTTCATATGGCTCAGCTGGTCGGCTACTTCATTGTCGTCTGTTGATACATAAATGGTGATTGGAAAGACATGATGTTCGATAGGAGTAGGGGAAAGGGAAAAAAGACTCACAGAAACCGTTAAGAATTGTCCGATGTTCAATGCTGAGGTCAGTATCTGAATGATGACAACCGATAATCACAATAAAAATTTGAATTCAAAGAGAAGGTTGATAAACAGTCCGTATGTCAGAAGCCGAATAATCACAGTCGAGTACAAAATCAGTCTTGTAATGCAAAGGGATGTGGTGGCGCTCCGGGCTAAACCGCAGAAGCCTGTGCTGCAGGGTCAGAAGACCAAGCAGTCGTCAGATCGAATCCATGCGACGGAGTGAGCTCCCGTTGCTTGTCCCAGCTCCTGCCAACGTAGCGGTTCGAAAGCATGCAAATGCAAGTAGATACATAGGGACCACTTCGGTGGGAAGGTAACAGCGTTCCGTGTCTAAGTCGCACTGGCCATGTGACCACATAAGATTATCTTCAGACAAACGCTGGCTCTATGGCTTGGAAACGGGGATGAGCACTGCCCCCTAGAATCGAACACGACTGGACAAAAATTGTCAAGGGGAACCTTTACCTTTACCTAATGCAAAGGCGGGAATCGTTAAACAGTCCATAATTCAAAAACCAGGAGACAGCTGTGACGGACAGGCCAGAAACCACACCTGTCCATCACAATGGAACACTGACTCAGTAGCCAATGGTTGTGCAGGACGGCAGAACCAGGGAATATAAGAAGAGAATGGAGGACAGTTAGAGTTCAGTTAGAGTTAGGATTTCAGTTAGCCAGGAGTTAGGTGCATCGGTTAGTGATGAGATAGGACAGTTAGTCAGGAGTTAGGGAAAGAGTTAGGTAGTTTGAAGAATTATTTTGGAAAGAAACACTTGGAAAGAAACGTATAAGAGAACTGAATGCAACTGTTATAAAGTGACTGAAACTAAATACAAAGTAACCTGCATATTTCTAAGTTAAATGAAGTTTAATAAATACCAAATAAAATTCCATCTATTATTTCCTTGATTCTTAAATATGTTAATCTATTAATAAACAATATTATATTTGACACGATTGATTCTGTGGTCCTAATTGGTAATTGAAGGAGGATTTCCTCTGGTGGCAGCGGAAGCGGAGACAAGAGAAACTGTCATGCCCGAAGGCAAATCTGTTTGTTAGGGAGAACATACAGAAGAGTTGGCTGTGTGCGACAACAACGTACAAGCAAAGTCCAAAATCGTAATCCGTAGGCAATCCAAGGTCGAAATTTCCAGAGATACAGAGGATAATCAGAATAGACCAGAATCAAAAACCAGAAGATTGAAGAAAAGGTAGCTGTAGCACAAGAAGTCTGATCGCAGCAGTGGCAAAAAAGAACAGAGGCAATACGGGTGGGTGGAGCATGCGCGCCATGGGGTAACATACTATAAATCACTTACTTTAAGCTCTAGAATATGCCGAGGAGTTCTGCGCAGCACAGTCTAAACCCATTTGTGTGGATTCACAGAGGCCACGAAGAAGAACCATTTTTAAAAGTAAAGCCAGTATCTTGTTGCATAGTTCTGCCTGTGCAACGAGAGTGGCTGTGATGTCGTAATGGGGGCAAATGCACAGATCTATGAGATAGCCAAAAATCTGGAACCCCTTCCACCATATGCCATGCCTTCATTGTTGTTGTTGTTGTTAAAAAATCTTTTGTTTTTCCTCTTGCCCATGACTTTCTTTATATAATCTCTATTCCCTACTCTTCACCTTGTATTTCTTGGAGTCACTGGGAATATGTGTCACCTATGTGGCTTCCTGCAAGCATGCTAGTGATTGTTGAAGAACTATACAGTTTTAATAGCTTGTGATAACTATCTATGGTAACAGTCTCCTGCTTCTGATTTGTTTACAACAGGGAAGGGCAACATCTTGGGGAGGCACACCATGCTCTTTTGGCTGCTGGCACTGCCACTGAAATGTTGTGACTACTACCACAGACCTTTATATCATTCAGGTCCAATCCCCCAGGTTGTAAAGACACAAGATGAGCTCACTGATAAGAGCGAGCTCTTACATGGAATATTCCAGTATATATATGAAAATAATGGCCATATTTTGCATTAACTGCTCTAAAATAATGTTTCAGAAATTATTTGGGTCACGGTGAACAAAAGAACAGCTCACAAAGCAAACTGACAAGATGGCTTTAGGGAACTCATTGTCCTCTCAGTTTCAATTAATTGCCCCAGTCTATAATATAGCAACAGTACTGACCTTGGGAGCTCTTGCAAGAGCCTATATTTTAAACATTTGAATGGAACACTATAAAATTTAAGTATTACTAACTTTTGAGTGGAAATTATATACAGTATATGTGAATTGGCTTTGAGTACATATTAGACAAGGCACATCTTAGAGCATATAAAATAAGGCATCATATCAATAGTACTGCTTTAAAAATTGACAGGTTACACAAAGACTGGAAGAAATATCAGATATGACCATGAGCACAGCACGCAAACATTTACAGAGGTGGTAGTCATTTATCTTCATTTTGTCCTGTGTCAAGAACCCATTTATTTGGACATCCCAAATGTGAGTTCCCTACAAATATATAAATCCTTGTAACACATACACATACAAAGTATACAAACATTACGGATATTATAAAATATTTTTCTTGGATGACCCATTTTTGGGTCATGTAATTAGTTACACTTTGTGTTTTACTGCTGCTAGTCATGCCACTTCATCTGACTACACATGCTTTGCCAAGAGCATTTTAAAGTAGCAGCAATGTATTAGTTGTAAGGAATATAATTTTAATGCTACTTATTAAAAATGAATAAAACTAGAATTTCATTAGACCTTTGTGTGCTTACTTTATAAAATATTATAATTCTAAATCCTAATAATCATGTAAGAGTCCGCATAAACCTAAGCAATTTTAAGACCCAATGATGTCCATAAGACAATAAACTCAAACTATCTCCTACACTCTCCCATTAAAATTCATGCCTAACTTCAACTTTCATCATCATTATCACCACCACCAATATCTGCACCATTATCATTACTTGCTACCTTATATTGCTGTGTGTAATTTTTCTTTGTTTTTAACTCAGCTATGCACAAAGGTTGCCATAGTGGAGGAGGAGGAGCACACAGATACTTAAGTCCTTGCACAAACAATTTGTCACAATAAAACCCACAATAAAACCATGAAAACAGGAAGTTGCCTTGTTCAACAGATTCTTTTGGATACAGCTAAATTTTTCTTATAGAAGGAAAAAAAACCACTCCTGCAGAAATCAATTTCTGCATAAAGAAATGATTTTTTTTGTCATAAACAGGGCTTTGTAATGCTTGTAATCAACCACAGATACACACATTTGGGAAGAAATCTTAGCAGTGGACATGGTTGTCTTCTTGTGGAGCATGTTTTAGGATAACTAGTGCTACACTTTGCAATCTTCTATCTACTTAATTGGTTTGGATATAAAGAACAACCCCTTGTCTTGCAGCTATGGAAGCTATCAGATCTCTCACAAGTTTTCTCTCTGCATTTTAAGGACCAGAAGCACAATCCATTGTGAAACATGCAGAACCTCTAGGAAATTTTTAGTTTTGCTGTTAAATCTCTGTTCTTGCACAATTTCAGTGGGATATATGCAACAGAGGGTTCCAGATGATTAAATTCTGAAGCAATATTACTCAGTGACTATTGGATACAGTTTAACACAACAGGTATCTCTATCTGAAATAATACTAGGAAGCTCATTTGCACTATATTAATTATCCTTGGAAAGTAAAGTGTTCTTACAATATACCAACAAGCATCTAGATAAACTGTTCTTGTCTCACATTTTTAAAATACCCCTCCCCAATCTATTATCTACAGAACAGGACACAGCAGAAAAAACAAGACATTTTAGTACTTTCAAAAATAATAAGGGAGTCCAAAACTAGTCAGTATTTCTATTTGATGGAGAAAAGTAATAAAATAAGAACACAAAAGAAATGCATATGATTATTATGCTATACCTATGGCAATTTCACATGTCATTGCTTATTTGATTACATCTGTTGCTAAGAAGAAGACATACAATCCAGAAACTCATGGCATATACACTGGCAAAAGCCATAAACCATGAGAATAACAAGACTCGAGGGAACGAGACTAACAAAGACTACCCCAAGGGTAACTTTCTTTGATACCAGTAAGTAAATCCCTAAAGGCAAGGAACTAAAATATAGCAAGCCCAGCAACCAAACTAGGACTCGAATCGAAGTCTGGAAGATCAAGGAGGTACAGTTCCACACTGTCCAGTTGTGGGGCACAGATGCAACCGAGTCAAAGCTTGTGGGCCTGTAGAATTCCACAACAGGGGTTGAGTTCAGTGTTGGGGGGCTCTCCCTCTGCACTTCCATAATAGTTATTACTAGACAGTTGGAGGAAGTATGTGAAGGGCTAACAAGAGAGGCCAGCCTTTTGGGAGTCAGCAGGAGTTCAGTTGGATTGTCTGGCAGGCACTTCTTCACCTTTCCCCCATAAGCCAAATTTATCAGGATGTTATTGTCATCAGGAAGACTACTAACCTCATCATCAGGAAGACAGGTCTCAAACCTGCAGAATGGGCACACAATGACTCCCTGAGGAGAGTCCCCAAAATCTATGATCTTGCAAAGGCATTTGGCACATACTCTGTGGCAACACCCTAGTACTTTAGGTTTTCTTTGCCTCAAGTTATAGCGGTTGTAACAGATCTTGCATTCAAGCTCATCTGAGCCCTGGGACTCCACAGTATCCTCTGGCAGTAGACTGGTCATTTCTTTTTACTGCACTTTAGACTCCTGATGACGTCAGCCAAACACTGGTCCTTTTTTCTTTCTTTCTTTCTTTTTAATAAGCTACAGTTTTGGAGCTTCTTTCTGATCATCACATCACTCAGGTCATTCAGCTGGGGAGGAAGCGTCCACCATCTTCATTAATAGCATCTCTCCATCACTATCTGCTTTGTCTTTCAATAAGTTGCATAGAACCATGTACAAAATAATGATATATTGTTGCTAGAGGGAAACAAAAAAGATAGATGAATTCATATCAAGTCTCTATTAACTATTTCATTCAGTATCATGTGCATCTGGAGTCAATGAGATACTACATTTTGTACATTAGGGTTAATCATATATATGTGTACCTCCCATCACTTGTCCCAGCTCCTGCCAACCTAGGAGTTTGAAAGCATGTAAATGTGAGTAGATAAATAGGTACCACCGCGGTGGGAAGGTACCGGCGTTCGGTGTCTAGTCATTCTGGCCACATGACTACAGAAACTGTCTACAGACAAACACTGGCTCTATGGCTTAGAAACGGGGATGAGCACTGCCCCCTAGAGTCGGACACGACTGGACAATTTGTCAAGGGGAACATTTACCTTTACCTTACCTGAGAGTAAACACCATTACCTGAATTGGACTTACTTCTGAATAGAACCTGAAAAGTTACCTTTCTCAGTTGTCATATTGGCTAAGGAATTCAGGGAACTATTGTCCCAAAGAAACCCCCAATGCTTCCATTTTTTTCAGAATATATGTGCAGGATCACACTATTACCTATTTTTCTAAGTAGCTTACAGGAGTTGCTACTACAGTAATTCTGTAAGGCTAAATTACACTAAGGGTAGAAATAGAGGTTACAGATAAGCTATTTTTAGAAAAAGAAAATCTTTAAGAGCTGTTTGTGAAAGTCACAACAACAGATGCTCTTCTAACCTCCTGAAGTTTGCAAATTAGCTTGCTTTGTTTTCTGATCCCCAGAATTTAAGCACTTCAAATCTTGAAGTGTCAAGATTTTTGAATAAGTCGCCATTAGCAGCTCTCCAGCACTATGTCATACTGTCTATAATGTCTACTTTTGCCCTAAGAAGTGTTACGTGCCCCAAGGTCATCAGTTAGCTTTATGGTGCAGTACATATTTTAATTTAGTTCTGGATGAGGCCCACTACTATATCTACTATTTCACACCTAAGATATACATATAAGAAAATTTGAAGTAGCAAGTTTCATGTTCTTGTAATTTTACTTCCTCCATCTAAAGGAGTAGTACCTGATTACAGCAGGATTCAATAGCAATAAACAGTAGGTGAGAGTTAAATCCACAGTTCTCAAGTCTGTACTATATGTTATGTATTTCTGTATTCATTTAATTACATCATTTAAACTCTGATATTCATCAAAAAAGGCTGCAAGAGTGGTTTACAAGAAAAGAGGGGGGGGAAAGAAACAAGACATTCGATGGCACAAAACTTATAATAATTATAGCAAAAGAAAAAAAGGGGGGGACAAGGAAAAGGTAAGAGGGGAAGGGAACAAAAAAGCTAACAAACCTAGGCACCAGTTCTTAAGGTACCAGTTCTTAAAATCATTATGTTTTTATAACAATCAGCTCCAATGAGAACATTTCAGGGAAAGGAGGAGCCAAATGGAGATGGTCTGTTAGCAGGCTTGATAGACTGGTCCTACTTCCCATCTTTCCCTCCAGATACTGCTGGGTGAACAAATGCATGTGAAGGCCAGTTTAATTTTTAAAATACTAATTCTCTTATATTTATAGGACAACTCCTTGTGCTTTCTTAGAATGCTCTATTGGCATTAGGCTGGTGAAAACTCATTGATCATTTCTGTTACTGTCTCCAAAATAAATGGAGGAGATACAATACTTGTGGTAAGAAACCTTAAACTATAAACAGCATGTTCACAGATGTATTTTCAATCATTTGATAAGTGCTAGTGATAGCTTATGATATTACTACCAGTGGTGTCACATCACATCAAGTACTTTGGCAGCAGAAGCAAGGTGGGCTCTTGGTTAAAAGCCCCAGCAAAGTGCCCTCTGCTGTGCCTTTTCTAATACTGATGCCCTCTCTGGTTTAGTTTATGAGAATGAGAGTACTGTACTGCGAGCAGGCAGAAACACTGTAACCTCAGCCACCTGGCACATTCCCTACTACAGTATGTCTCTGAGAAAGCTTGATCCTGTGGCATTGTGGTTAAAGAAAACAGAAGCCACTCCTGGGCCTGGCTGCCTCAAGGACTTGGTCCAGTCGTGAGCCCTCTTTGGAGGCTGGGTTCTCATAGCTGCCTGATGATGCAAGGTGTTGACCTTGACCTTGAAAGAAAGTAATTTGTTCTGTCTTGTTTTATTCTTTAATTAGATTTATATCCCACCTTTGTCTCCAAAATGTGACCCAGTGCTCCTCCCAATAGGATTAGATAACACATTATTTCAGACAACCATTTTCAGTGTTTTCCAAGTAGAAAATGCTCAGAAGTGGTTTCACAGTGTCGTTTTCTGAGGGCCTCTCAGGACTGTGCAACTTGCCTAAGGCCACACTGGCTGGTTCTTTTCCCTGGAGGCACAGTGAGGAATCGAATTCCCAACCTCTGGCTCCACAGCCAGATGCCTAACAAGATACCTAATTTGTTGAACTATCCTGCCAGTATAATCCATGATTTGCATAATATGCAAATAAACTGCTCAGATTTGGAGAACTGTAATATGGTGACCCTAACATAATCTTCAGTGATGCATAAGGTCTGAGATTTCTGGAGATTGGGAAAACTTTTTCCCTGCACCATGAACAGCTGAGTTCTGTAGTCAAATTAAACAAACGTACAACTATTCATTTTTAAATAGCTGTGAATAGGCAGCTGTATATTTTAGAATAAGCACAAATATATTTTGCATAATTTATTTTGCTTTTTGCTGATTTCAGGGGACAGGAGTCTTACAAAGGAGTAAAAAGCCCAGTCCTTGAGAAATTGACATCCTGATCATTTCCCTGCTTCTCAAATATTGCACTTGAGGAAATGTAATGTCATCACTAATGATACAATTCATACTGCTCATGATATTCTAGACCAGTGGTGGTGAACCTTTTTGGGCTCCTGTGCCCAAAATGGGGGGGGGGGGAACAGCAGGTGGCAACGGACCCAGACTCGGAAGACTGGAACCGGAAGTGGCAGTTTACGGGGGAATCATGGTGACAAACCTGGAGGACCCAGAACTGGAAGTGCGGTTTAAAGGGGAATCATGGCGACGGACCCGGAGGACCTGGAATTGGCAGCGGAAGGGGGAATCCCGGCTGCAGCTGCCTCATGAGGTTTGGCTGTGCAGGGAGGGCAGGGGGATTAGCAACCTATGGCTCGCATGCCAGAAGGGCTCCATGTGCCAGCTGTGGCACGCGTGCCATAGGTTCGCCATCACTGTTCTAGATGTTAATAGGGCATGTTACAGGAAAGTCTGAAATGTAAATTGGGCTTACTTTAACCAGTTTCAAATCCATTTGATGTTTTTCACAGATGCATATGCAATATATCTGTTGAGGAATGACATTTTTTAAAATGGCTGTTTATTAACAGACTGACTATTTGAATTCATAAATTAAGGCAAACACAACAAACATCAGATTCATGGGTCACTCTTTTGAAGCCAATGGCAAAGTCCCCCTTGATTTTAATTCATACACAGATTAGAGATCCATGTGATTTCTGTTTACGATCAGATATGAATATTAAAAACAAACTACTGAGTTATCCAGCAGTTGTTTTTGCAGTAGGCAAACTGAAACAAAATCACATGTGGAAATAATAAAAGGCAATGATTGCTTTGCACAAAAGAAGCATTCATACAAATAAAAATAAAAATATTTAGAAAATATTTATTTTATTTTTTAAACTCCTCCTTTATCCTTAAAAGGACCCAAATATCTGTGCAGCATATTCATCCTTTACCTCAAACATGCAGCAGAGTTTCTAACAATGCACATGTATTTTGAACTGGACAGGTGAATGAACAGTTCTTAACACTGGGGGCAGATGAAAGTACATTAGGTAATTTTCTTGGACTTTTTAAGAACTGTTCTAAATCATCCAAAATGCTGATGAAGATGAGAAGATAAAAGGGCTGCTTCACTGGTCCCAGGATTGTTGGAGTGTTGCAGTGATCAAATTAATGCTGAGATGGGATTTTTCAGGCATCAGGAAAAAGGAAAGTGATGATCTTGTGCATTAGGAAAGGAAGAATAGCAACAATCAGAAGCTCAGGCTATCCTGTTGACTGAAGCAAAAAGGCCTTCCTGTGGAAACAATAGGTCTCTTTATTCAACTGAGAGGCAGAATCTTTGCAGAATAAAAACCCTTCTACAGTGTCATGGACTGAAGGACAGTTTAACCAAATGGCTTCTTAGGCTTAGACTATGGTGGCCTTTTGACACCCAACAATTTAACTGGGTGAACCACAATGTGCACTAGTATCTCTCATGGTTTATTCTGCAATTTGACATTCAGTCATATACCTCTCTATCCAGGAGGAAGTACAACAATGGAATGCAATGAAATTTACCATAGTAGATGAATGCATACAAGACTGCAGCTCAATGTACTTGGGAAGTTGGTTTCAGTTTCTGTTTGTAAGGAAATTTAGTATTTCTGGCCAATCTTTTGAATGTTTAATTATCTTTTAAATCTCAGACTATGAACCAAATACAGTATGCATCTGAGATCATCTACGACAAGAAGTCTGACCACTTAGAAGTATTATTACATTTATGTGTTGTGTGGGTCACTTGACACAATCAGTTAACACAGGTCAGTTAATAGTGTCAGTGATTAACTCATATGTGAAAACGTACGACAAGAAGTCTGACCACTTAGAAGTGCTACATAAATACACTTGACACAGTCAGTTAACATAGGTCAGTTAAGAGTGTCAGTGATTAACTCATATGTGAAAACAGAAGTTGCCAGATCACAGTAACCTATCCTCTACAAAATATGGATGCCAGTACATTGTACTCGGTATCACATACCCAAACCTCCACGCTTCCTGTCGTCACTTAACTGCAGTGGCATTATTAGGTGTATTCTTCAGCAGCATAGTGACAGATGTGGTCTGGCACCAGGGCTAGGGAAGAACTGCAAAATTTTGGGTAACCTCTCCCAGGGTCATGAGTTATTCCTGTCAATTGCTCGAAGATGTACATTTTTGGAATTCATTAATAGCAATG